TGAGCTCATTTAATTCAGTCTAGCCAGCAGCCAATCACTGATGGCCTTTTAACTTTCTAGCCACACCCTAACAACCAGATACTGCTCCCTAGCAACTGTCCCATAGACTGCCATTAAAGAGGTTCAGACTGATATTGTCATGCTGCAGTGTGATAGAGACATGGGGGTTGTTTTTAACTGTTCATACTGGCAAGAAGCTTTGATACATCATCAGTCTAAGCTGTCAATCAACTCCATAGCAACAAAACAGACTAACCTAGCAACGATATGGCACCAGCTATATCTCAGCATCAGAACATCGTAGAGAGGCGGGGGTTGGCTTGTTTGACTCATGCTCGCACACCATCCATCTATCTATCTATCTATCTATCTATCTATCTATCTATCTATCTATCTATCTGTCTATCTGTCTGTCTGTCTGTCTGTCTGTCTCTCTCTCTCTCTCTCAATCTATCTATCTATCTATCTATCTATCTATCTATCTATCTATCTATCTATCTATCTATCTATCTATCTATCTATCTATCTATCCATTTATCCATCATGCTAACAATATGCTAATTCATGCTAGAAACATGTTAGTTACATGCTAATTCATGCTAGAATCATGCTAGTCACATGCTAATTCATGCTAGAATCATGCTAGTCACATGCTAATTTATACTAGAATCATGCTAACAACATGCTAATTTATGCTAGAATCATGCTAGTCACATGCTAATTCATGCTAACAACATGCTAATTCATGCTAGAATCATGCTAGTAACATGCTAATTCATGCTAGAATCATGCTAACAACATGCTAATTCATGCTAGAGTCATGCTAGTAACATGCCAATTCATGCTAAAATCATGCTAACAACATGCTAATTCATGCTAGAATCATGCTAGTAACATGCTAATTCATGCTAGAATCATGCTAGTAACATGCTAATTCATACTAAAATCATGCTAGTAACATGCTAATTCATGCTAGAATCATGCTAACAACATGCTAATTCATGCTAGAATCATGCTAGTAACATGCTAATTCATGCTAGAATTGTGCTAGTAACATGCTAATTCATGCTAGTTACTTGTTAATTTATGCTAGATTCATGCTAGTCACATGCTAATTCATGCTAGAATCATGCTAACAACATGTTAATTCATGCTAGAATCATGCTAGTAACATGCTAATTTATGCTAACAACATGCTAATTCATGCTAGAATCATGCTAGTCACATGCTAATTCATGCTAGAATCATGCTAACAACATGCTAATTCATGCTAGAATCATGCTAGTAACATGCTAATTCATGTTAGAATCATGCTAACAACATGCTAATTTGTGCTAGAATCATGCTAGTAGCATGCTAATTCATGTTAGAATCATGCTAATAACATGCTAATTCATGCTAGAATCATGCTAGTAACATGCTAATTCATGCTAGAATCATGTTAACAACATGCTAATTCATGCTAGAATCATGCTAGTCACATGCTAATTCATGCTAGAATCATGCTAGTCAAATGCTAATTCATGCTAGAATCGTGCTAACAACATGCTAATTCATGCAAGAATTGTGCTAATTCATGCTAAAATCATGCTAGCAACATGCTAATTCATTTTAAAATCATGCTAGTTACATGCTAATTCATGCTAGAATCGTGCTGGTAACATGCTAATTCATGCTAGAATCATGCTAGTAACATGCTAATTCATGCTAGAATTATGCTAACAACATGCTAATTCATGCTAGAATCATGCTAGTAACATGCTAATTCATGCTAGAATCGTGCTAACAACATGCTAAATCATGCTAGAATCATGCTAACAACATGCTAAATCATGCTAGAATCATGCTAACAACATGCTAATTCATGCTAGAATCATGCTAACAACATGCTAATTCATGCTAAAATCATGCTAGTAACATGCTAATTCATGCTAGAATCATGCTAACAACATGCTATTTCACGTTAGAATCATGCTAATACCATGCTAATCTATCTATCTATCTATCTATCTATCTATCTATCTATCTATCTATCTATCTATCTATCTATCTATCTATCTATCTATCTTTTCATACTTTTAAAAACTGTTTAAACTAAATAAACTATTACCGTCAGGCTTTCACAAGCCAGCCTCAAAGTTTGTTCTCAAACTTTAAGAATCTAGTTAATATTATTATTCTTCTTCTGAGACTAAAAATTAAACTCTATCTCCTACTAGACCATTCAAGCTATGACTATCAAACTCGGGTCAGACCTCCGAACTATTCTGACTCGAGTTGCTATATCCTTTCCGACTGATCCGACTTTCGGTTTCCCGAAAAACGTCCCGGGACCGTCGG